TTTTGGCTGCTGTTATCATTGGTACGACAGTGCAGCGAACGAATGGATATGATATGATGGCTAACAACAACATGATGGGTTTGATGTTCTTCGCCATCATGATCGGTGCTGGCTGCTTACAGGTTTACAGCTTTGAGTTCCTGGCCTTTGAGCGAGATGCTTCCGCTGGTACTTCTGTCCTCGCCTATTGGGCATCGAAGACGTTATGTCATCTGTTTGATACATTCCTGTTCACTTTGATATTCACAGCTACTTGGTATCTCATCATCCAGGCCAACTACAATGGCGTCTATGGATACTGTATATTCTTCATCTTCGCCTGGTGGGTGACAGGCTTCGGTCAGCTGATGACTGTAGTCTTCCCGATGGCAATATCACTGTTGTTGGCTGTCATCGTGCCGGTGGAGTTTGTGACCATGTTTGGTGGTGTCTCACCTCCCATAAGCTCTGATGGCTTCTTCCAGAAGGCTGCCACTTACTTTGGCTGCGGATATTATGCGACGGAGCTCCTCACTATGGCAGAATTCACCGCTTTGCCTTCGAATATCTTGGACTTGAATGTCGTCGCTGATACCGTCCATGGGTGCAAATATGGGTCATCTTATTACATTCTTCGAGATGTCTGCATACTTGTCGGTATGGGTCTCATCTGGAGACTGTGTACCCTGGCCTGGCTGGAGATAATAGTTAAATATCGCAGAGATGGCCTGGATTCGATGCTGCCATGGTTGGCTCATTTGATCGACTACTTTAACACCAAGTTCAATCCTGTGGTGAAAGACCCCGATAGTCATAAACCGAGGGACCAAGATGAACACTCCCAGGTGGGAGAGGCGAGTACTTCTTCCACCGGTGGTGAATCCATCAGCGATACTGGTGCAAGCTCTTCAGTGTCGAGACGCATCAGTGCCGCTGGAGTGCGAACCAGACGTGCTACCAGCAGTCATATATCGAATGCGGTATAATTCTTCCCCTACCTGGACGACGTTCATTTATAGTATTTCATCCCATGATCTTGTTGTTCGATTCCATCGAGTCTGATGATTGTACTGCGAACTCACTCACGGATCCGAGACACTCAACATTCGCTGACGTCTATGAGTATTCGTCTGGGTAAGCGCAGTAGCGTGGTCGTGGATCACTAGTAGCAGCGACCGCCCTTCGGAGGGGAGAAAGGTCATTGACGATGGCTGTGACTGTTAATTTTGGGTACTGCCGCATTACTAATGTGTATTTTTGTGTTAATATTATTGACTACGAACATCTCGGGGCAATAATTTCCCAGGGATGCTCACTGGGGCATGTGTCAGAGTTGTCACCATATCATGGGATATGTTTGGGGGTGTAGAAGACAAACGGGCCAATTAAGGAAATGTCTGTAGTGTGCAATGTCGGACCGGGAAGGCCTCCAACAATGTTAGCGCATCGTCGAACGTGAATTGAACATCCAGCCGAAAGTAGTTGGGAGAATGAACGTTCTGTTGTCTAGCACCTGCATTTGTTCAGCTTGTTTAGTGTGCCTGAGTGAGTAGTTCCATCCTATCATCGTTAACCACTGGATTTCGGCCTTGCAAGAGCCTCCACCTTTTATGGAGGGGGGAGGAGGACATGTCGGATGATGAGCTCTGCTGAGAGTATTACACAACTTGAACGTCTTCTTTTTCTTAGTGAAGTTAGTGTCC